AACCCCATCTTCGAAACATGTTCTTCGAAAATCTTAGGAGGGAGACCTTTAGTCATCGGATCCGCAAGCATATTCTTAGTACTTATATGCTCAATACAAAGTTTATTTTCCTCAACTCGCTCACGTACGAACAAGTACTTTGTATCAAGATATAAAGCAGCGCCAGTCGAACTGTTACTGTTCGAGAAACTAACGGCAGCTGAGTTATCACAATAAAGCTTCAATGGTCGAGAGATGGAATTAACTACTTTGAGTCCAGTGATGAGGTTTCTTAGCAACATTCCATGACAGGTTGCGTTGTACAGCGCAATGTATTCTGCCATCATTGTAGAAGTTGCAGTCAACTCTTGCTTATGACTCTTCCACGAGATAGGTCCGCCAGCTAACATAAAGATATACCCTGAAGTGGATTTCTTGTCATCTTTGCACTTAGCAAAATCAGAATCAGAATAACCAACCACTTCTAAATTATCACTCCTCCTGTAAGTCAGTTTATAGTCTTTTGTCCCTTGTAGATATCGAAGAACTTTCTTAGCTGCTTTCCAGTGATCAAGACCAGGATTGGTCTGATAACGACCTAACATTCCATCAATGTAAGCGATATCTGGACGAGTACAGACTTGTGCATACATAAGGCTTCCTACTACTGAAGCATAAGGTATCATTCTCATCTGTTCTTTTTCAACCTCTGTTTTCGGACATTGAAATAAACCAAAAACATCTCCCTTAACTACTGGAGCCACAGAAGGAGAGCAATGTTGCATGTTATAGCGTGTAAGGACACGCTCAATGTAAGCCTTTTGAGATAATCCCAAAATACCATTGACTCTATCTCGGTGTATTTCGATGCCAATAACATAAGAAGCCTCTCCGAGATCTTTCATGTCAAAATTACGCGAGAGTAAGCGCTTGGACTCATGCAACATGTCTAAACTATTACTTGCCAATAGAATGTCATCTACGTAAAGGACAAGTATAGTAAAGTTGCTCCCACTCATCTTGAGGTAGGTGCATTGATCCACTTGATTCTTTATGAAACCTTCTGACTTCAAGACTTGATGCAACTTTAGGTACCATTGACGTGATGCCTGCTTCAACCCGTATATGGATTTCTTTAGCTTACAGACTAGGTGCTCTTGACCTTCAGATTCGAATCCTTCGGGTTGTTTCATGAACACTTCTTCATCCAAATCGCCATTAAGGAAAGCGGTTTTGACATCCATCTGATGTAGCTCTAAGTCAAAGTGAGCTACAA